GATGGGGGAGGCAGGAGGAGGGGAAACTTCTCCAGGCTCTGCACCAGCTGTGTGGCCTGGAGAAGCCCCACCGCCTTCTCAGCAACAAGTGACACAATTCATCTGACCGTTGCACCACGGCTCCACGTGGCTGTTCCAGGTGGGGACGTTGTGAAAGACTCCTGTGCACACACTCCTCTAGGAAGGAACTGCAGGGCCATGAGGTGCACAGTCCCCAACCTCCTAGATGATGGGGAGTCTTTTCCACACGACTGTGCAGGGAGCATTCTCACTTGCAATGCATGACAATTTTGAGGCTCCACACTCTCGTCTGCTCTTAGTGTTGTCACCTGCGGCATCTGGTGGGCGTGCCTGTTTCCCTCTCTGGCTTTCTTTTTCATTATCTGATGATTAATGAAGTTGAGCACCTTTCCCAATTCCTGGGTTGGCCATTACTGTTGGGTCTTCTGTGGTGACGCTATTCAGATCTTCTGTCCAATTATCAACAGTATTGCCTTTTTTTCTCTTTTCATTTTAAGGTGCTCTTCATATACTTAAATGTTAGTGAATGACAACCACGTATTCTGTGAGCATATTCCCCACCTGTGTGACTTACATTTCACTCTCTTGTGGACACGTGTCTTCTGGAGAATCAAAGTTTTCAGTTTTAATATAGTCAAATCTGTCTAGGTTGTTCCATTGTGGTTAGGGCATTTGTGTGCCTTTCAAGAAATCTATTCTTACCCCAAGTCTTTAAATAACACATGTTAGCATCTCAGGGTCTTACGGTTTTACCTCTACATAGAGGCCTCTAACCCACCAGGAGCTGACTGTGTGTATGGTGTGAATTACCAGTACAATTTAATTTTTTCCTTATGGTTAAATGGTCCAAGCACTATTTATGGAAACACCATCCTTTCTCTACTTCCTGCACAGACACTGCAGTAAAAGGGGGAGGGAGGCGGGTGGGAGCCCATTTATGCAAGGATCTGTCTCTGAGCTCATTATTCTGTTCCTTTGACCTGATGACTGTCCCTGCATTGAGATTCTCTGTCTCAATTACCGAAGCTTTACGATAATTCTTGACATCTGGTACAGCAAACGCTCACACTGCTTTTCTTCGAGAGAAAAGTGTGTTGGCTGAACTCAGCCTTTGGAATCTGCTTGTTATTCTTCAATCCCCCTAAAAAACATTTGTTGTGATTTTGATTGTTAATGAACATCTTAGATTCTTTCATGGATTTCCATCCATCTATCTAGCTCTCTTGACGGTCTCTCAGAAATGTTTAATAATCCCCCACCAAGCCTCTAAGCACCTTTTATAAGGCTTGGAATTAGAAAATGATTCTCCTGGGCCGGCCCCGTGGCTTAGCGGTTAAGTGCGTGTGCTCCGCTGCTGGCGGCCCCGGTTTGGATCCCGGGCACGCACCAACGCACCGCTTCTCCAGCCACGCTGAGGCCGCGTCCCACATGCAGCAACTAGAAGGATGTGCAGCTATGACATGAAACTATCTGCTGGGGCTTTGGGGGAAAAAAATAAATAAATAAAAATTAAAAAATAAGAAAATTATTCTTCTGATGTTATTGTAACTCTTTTAAAATTTCGTTTTCCAAGCGTTTGTTGCAAGTATATAGATAGACAAGTATTTCCCTTTTTTCCACACTGTAATCTTTCTCAACAATCTTACTTACTGTAATAATTTATCTTTTGGATTTTCTGAATTAATATTCACATCATCAGTGAATTCTACTTTTATTTTTCCAAATTTTACGCCTTGTATTTTATTTTCCTCCTTACTCTACTATACAGTGTTGGACAGAAGTGGTTACGGTGGCTTCCTTGTCTTGTTCTCTATGTAAAAGCGTTCAAGGTTCACTTTAAGTATGACATTATTCGTGTCTCCTGCAGCACCATTTGTCAAATTAAAGAAGAACACTTTTACATTGTTAAGAATTTTACAGCATGAATTGATGTTAATTTTTATCAAATATTTTTCCTGAATTTATGATGTTAAATTTTAATCAAATAATTTTATTCTGTATTAATTGAGAAATCACATCATTTTTCATGAAATCTGTTAATGTCAAGCTTTATATTGATCTAATGTTTTTAACGTTAAACCAAACTTGCAGTCCTGGACTATGACTTCCCTCACAGTGTAGCATCCTCTTGATATGCTGTTGAATTCACTTCGCTAACGTCTTATCTATGATTTTCTCCTTGATATCCATCATAGATTGGTCTCTAATTTAATTCTTCCTACTTCTCTTGTCAGACTTTGATGTCCATGTCACATTATCTACATAAAACGAGTTACGGAGCGTATCTCCTATTTCTGTTCTACCACAATCTCCGTGAGCATGGATTAATTGTTCCCCAGAATATTAAGAGAGTTTACCAGAGAACTATTGGGCTTAGAAGATTTTTTATTATTGGTTCCACTTATTTAAAAGTCATAGGACTATCCGAATTTTCTATACCTTCTTGTGTCAATTTTCATACAGTTTACTAGGAATTAGACAAATTGTCACAACTTTTCAAACTTACTGCCATAAAATATTTTGTCATCTTCTCTTAAACTAACATTTCACAAAGCTATCTGGGCAGATTTTCGGTATCTAAACACACCCACAAATCATTATGTTCTGATACAACACCAAACTGTTATGTGTTGGCACCTAGGAGTCAATCTGGGATGGCAGCCACCCCTATCTGTCATCAAGACTCTCTTACAGGGGCCGGCCCGGTGGCGTAGCAGTTAAGTTCGCACATTCCACTTTCGCAGCCCAGGGTTCGCTGGTTCGGATCCTGGGCGCAGACCTACTTACTGCTCATCAAGCCATGCTGAGGAGGCATCCCACATAGAAGAGCTACAACTCTACAACTATGATACACAACTGTGTACTGGGGCTTTGGGGAGAAAAAAGAAAAAGAGGAAGATTGGCAACAGATGTTAGTGTAGGGCCAATCTTCATTAAAAAAAAAAAAAAAAGAATCTTTAAAAAAAAAAGACTCTCTGGGCCGGCCCCGTGGCTTAGCGGTTAGTGCGCGCGCTCCACTGCTGGCGGCCCGGGTTCGGATCCCGGGCGCGCACCGACGCACTGCTGCTCCGGCCATGCTGAGGCCGTGTCCCACATACAGCAACTAGAAGGATGTGCAACTATGACATACAACTACCTACTGGGGCTTTGGGGGAAAAAAAAGGAGGAGGATTGGCAATAGATGTTAGCTCAGAGCCTGTCTTCCTCAGCAAAAAGAGGAGGATTAGCATGGATGTTAGCTCAGGGCTGATTGTCCTCACAAAAAAAAAAAAAAAAAAACACTCTCTTAACAAAAGGAAAATAATTTAATTTCTTAGACTTCTCTACGTACCAGACAAGGAGGCAAAGGCACGCACTCACCATTAGTAAAGTGTTATGAAATCAATACTGCTCCACCAAGCAGAGGCTGCTACCACAGGAGCCCCTCGTAGCAAAGCATGTCGATGTGGCAGAAGCAACTTTTTCCTTTCCTTTCCTAACTTTACAAATGTAACTCCAAAGGGAATTCTGACATTGAACATCCAAACCGAGGAAAAAGGCAAAATGAGATTTGCTTTAACACAATAACCCTACACATCACAGGTGAATACTCACCCATCGTCCGTTCTCTCCTCCCTTTGCACGGACATCACAACAAACACATACCTACATCTTGTTACTCAGAGGTGACAGAGAGCTTTCACCCATGAAAAGGAAGGAAGAGAGTCCCAGACACCTCAAATTTGATAACCCAAAGTTCATTCTTGACATAACTCCAAGTATGATTGTGTGGCAAAAATTCCCCTAACCCAGGTTCATGAAATTGGAACATCTCCTGCTGACAAGAGCTGGCCTGAGGTGTGGTGAGGGCACGTGGAGTCATCAGAACACACAACAGGAGGAAGTCACATAGCCCAGCTGAGAGACAACTGGTCTACCTCACACCAAAGCATCAGGTAGAGCCAGTCTCGGACACCAGGACCACGAGAAGGTTCTGGACAGGTGACTGAGCATTACCGTGTGGAGGTGCCCCTCCAGGTTTACAGAACAGCCCTCTCCTTTCGATGTACCCTTCCCTTCCAGCCTCCCCTGGCCCAAAATGAGTATGAAGATGGGAGATGGAAGGGTGGGAGACACAAAGACATGAAGTCGTAAGGAAAGTGCACAAAAGTCTGTCTGTGCCGTGAGCCAGTCCTTCCTCACCTCCACACAGGCTAGCTCCCCCCGCGCCAAGAACTAACCTGTGACGTCCAGGCGGAAGGAGACCTTCTGGCCCCCGGCCTCGCAGCTGTACTC